AATTATATTCACATCGTCATTTTGTATGTTTCCCTTGTTACGTCATTGCAGTTTACCGCCTTAATTCATATTTTCTAAGTTCCCAGCATGTTTTTGAAAACTGTTTCACTAAAAATAGAAATTCCATAGATCAATTAATGAAACACATCTAATATGCATCAGATGAAGCTTTCCAACTCACCTGGAAAACCAGAAAGACGCAAAACTAGACGAAACCAAAGAAAACGCTGAAATACCTGACAGTTTATGTTGTTTTATAGCAAAAATATGAGCACCCGATTCAATTAAAACAATTTTTACCCAAAATTCGCTCTGAGATTTATATACAGATGAATAAATCTTTTAATTAATTGTGAAAAATAAAAAACTAAAATAATTACAGTTTATGTTTGGTATACTTGTACAAAGTGACTTGACTTCGATTCGAAAACCGTTTTCGCAAATGAAGCGATGTAATTTTGAGTTGAAAGGTCACCCACATGTTCGTCGCCATCATTGCATCAGAAGAACTGTTTTTGTGAAAATCATTCCTGATTTGACCAATTTCTTATCTTACTCTACTTAAAAAGACTATTCATCCGGTTCGTTATACTCATTTTATAAGTTCTCATGTTATAATACAGTCTTCCATGTTTTACATAACCAGGGCACGCTAATCGTACGGGAAAGGGGGGCATCGTCGAATATGTTGTACTATTTCATATTACTGCCAGTACCCCAGCAATAGAATAATGTATGCATCCTACAATAATATTCGATACATTTGAAGAATCAATATACTGCAAGATAAAATATATTAACGAATGGTTTTGCTCTTCAGTGGGAAAACAGCTGTTTCAGACAAACGAATGACATTACCCATCATGCAATTATGATTGTAAGGATTGAATGGATACTGTAAAGGGGTTAATTATTCACTGGGTTTTAATTTGGCTTATTTCGCTGACTGGAAAATGCGCTAAATTAAAACCCAGTGAATATGTAAAATTTACCATAGAACACATTATCTAAATGATAAAACCGTGAACTTTAAAACCCACTGAATATGCCTGAAATGGTAAATCAGTGAAATTTAAACCCAGTGAAAATTAGTCATTTTACAGTAATTGATGAACTGACTATGGTTACTTTTGAACCATTCAATTGTTTTCCCAAAACATAGACATCTCAAAATTGAGAAAATTCACCAGATCAGGAGAGAAATTTAGATCTCAATATGGGGACAATCAAGTGAGAAGGATAAATTTTTTGACAACCCAAAAATGTTCAAATTATGAGGGACAATTGCGCATTTAAGAAAGCCCAAAACTCATTAGATTTGTCAAAAATAAAGCAAAACCACTTTATCGATTTTTATATACACCAAATAGTGGGAAATCGTCAGAAATCGTGAAATTGGGCATCTTGGATGAAATACTGTGATAGAGCAAATACAGAACATATACGGTAATCTAACATAAAGTCAATAATTCAACTGTAGTTGTCCACAGAATTACTACTACGCATTGAAGATGCCGATCTCGTGCCGTTTTTATGAACATAAGTTTCCTGAGAAGGAAGATGTAGTAATGGTGAATGTGCGATCTATTGCTGAGATGGGCGCGTATGTACATTTACTGGAATACAACAATATAGAAGGCATGATACTACTGAGTGAGTTGTCACGACGACGTATCAGATCTATCAATAAACTCATCCGTGTTGGAAGAAGTGAGTGTGTAGTTGTCATCAGGGTGGACAAGGATAAAGGTTTGTAATATGGATCATAATACGAAAATTAAAAATATCTATTTAAAGCGAGGGAGTCGTAACCTACGCATGCGTCAGGTCACCATAGCGTGTCATTATTTGCAAACAAGTTTACCCATGAGCCTTTGCGTTCTTAGCGTGCGTTGTTATCACTTGGGACTCAATTCTCCCGCTTTAAGTCTTTAAGTGGATTAACATTGTTGATATTTATGAGGATCACCATTTGTATATAGAGTGTGAATATTACAGTTTTGCACACTTACTGTAAAGCATTTAATTTTCCTTGCTAGGAATTGGATAACTGTGTTCTTAGTTGAATTTTCACAGATACAAAATTTTGTGATTTTCACTGTCTTTTAAAATGATATGATGGCATTGAGGTTATGATGGTGTTGCTGTTATGGTGGTGTTTCAGTTACGATGGTGTTTATGATGTTGTTGCCGTTATAGGGGCATTGCGACTATGTTGCATCCCATCATAAAATAAACCTAGTGTAACATGTTAACACAAGTGATTTAATAATATTAAATACAGCATATTAATATCTGGCTAGATGTTGTCACCTACCTGTTCTTCTTTCTCTTTGTGCAATCTTTCAAATTGAATATTACAAAACTGAATATGGCAACAGAAACATTTCATCATTATTCAATGCCCAGGTTTTT